AAGACGAGTAAGTAAAAAAAAAAAAAAAAAAGAAAACAAAAACAATTGAATCAACAAAATCAAATATGACTTACCACAAACCAGAACCGGCCGTGTTATCGTTGCTGGGTGGATATACCGATATTCCGCTGCTGCTGTTGGCATTTTCGTTCACCGCGGAATTCTCGCTCAATGCGATTTGCGAACTGCGATTTATGGCCGCGATATTCAAAACGTTTCTCTCTGCCGACTCGGTGTTGCTTCTTTCCGTCTTATCAGAATTTCCTGGCAAGTCGCTATCAGAAGAATCGGACGTTTCTTGTCGTCGTTGTAATATTCGATTTGACAGCTTGCTCTCAATATCCGATGCGGGAACGTTGCCGAGTACCGATACTCCCCCGACTAGTTTCTGTCATTAATTTTGTATTTTCAAAACCCGTATCTTATTTTATAACGCTATCAAATGTTATCTATTAATTTTCGAATAAACTCTATTAGCGCAAAAAAAAAAATGGAAAATTAAAATTGAATGAAACTTGTTGGAATAAATGCGTAGCTTAAATATGATACAGCTGACATTTTCGATAAAACATTCGTCAAAGACTTCGACATCGTTCAAAAAGTTACACATCAATTACACTTTACCTTTCTACTCGTCTCCGTATTTGTAGACGACAGCGCGGGTTCAGGAGATTGTTTTTTAAGATTGCCAAACAGATCCGCGTCGTCGTTCTCATCGCCACTGAACAAGTTCGAAAAATCAGCTTTGACGTTGGAGTCCGGTGTGCTTGTGGCAACATTACCGGCAGCTCCGAGTGTTACAGTATCTAAGAATTTCTTCGACGCGTTTCCCGTAGGATTCGTAGGATTGGCATTATCATTGCCGATAGTTTCCTTGGAGCGTTTCTTGACAGTATTCTTCGACGAGAAAATGTCGTCCGAATCTTCTTCCGAGTCGGCATCGGCGAACAGATCGTCGATCGCTGACTTTGGCTTCGTTGCTGAAGTTGTAAAAATTAAATTAAAAAAAAAAAAAAGAGTTCATCGCACATGATACGATACACAACCATGAAAATTTACCAATTATGCTAATCGGTGGTGGTACATCGATACTGGCTGGTATGATGTTACTTTTGTAAGATTTGATTGGTTTTTCTTTCCACAGATTAACCGACACCTGATCATCGAAGAGATTCTTCTTATCACTGAAGAGATTATCAGAACCGTTGTTGAACACATCGTCATCCTTCTCCGTGAACAGATCGTCTATAAAAAAATTTAAAAAAATAAAAAAAAACGATTGTTACTTATATTACCTCGTATATATTTCACTTATTGTGCCAAAGAATATCGGTAAATATATATTGGCTGCTCACCTTTATATCGATTGATTGACGATTCACTAGCTTCATCCACGACTGGTTTCTGCGCTTGACGAACGGTGCCTAATCGTTTAGCCAACTCTTCCGCAAAATTGGGCGCTGTTTCGTTCGACGTCTATATAATAGGAAAAAAATTAATTCCTTTTTTTAAGTTTTAGAAGAAACACAATATGTCATAAAACAATCTACATCGTCAATTACCTTTGACACGGTATTAGGCGTTACAGATTCGGAAGCAGAATTTATGTTATTTCGAGACGCAATATCTGCCTTGCTATTCATATACGGTGTGTTATTATTATTCGGATAGTTATCCGAATCGCTTGAGGATGATGACAGCCTCGCTATATTTACTTGAGGAATATGACGAGTATTGAACACCTGCGCATTTGCGTCCTCCTTCTCACTTTCTGATTCTTCCCTTTCCTCATCGACTTGCTCCGATTCGCTGCTACTGCTCTCTAAACCAATCTTATTTGACTCCATCCATTTTTCGGAACCGATAATATAAGGTAATGGTCGATCTTGATATGGATCATTAGGTCCCACGATGACGCTGCGCAAAAAAAAAAAATAATTTAGTATCAATTGAATATTTAATAGACAAAAAAAGAAGAAAAAAAAATAATAATTTACCTAACTACTACTTCACCTCCTTCTTCTTCTTCCTCACTATCGCTACAAGCTACATCCATCACTTTGTACTTTTCATCCATGATGTTTATACCTTGCTTTACACTTTCGCTTATACTAGCTAGAAGAGTTTCTGCCGAATCCCGAGTCTTCGTATCCTAGTGAGTCAATGAAAATTGTTTTTTTATTTGAATATTAAAGAATTGTTGTCTAAGTATCATTAATTAAAAATCATGATCTATGAAAATATAATATTGATATAAATGTGAAACACTTACTTCGTGCTTTTCTTCAAAGTTTTCCTTAGTTTCTATGTCATCTTCCTGTACACGACTTTCAATAAATTGAGTATTAGCCAAAGCCAAAGACGTGTTAGTAACATTGTCCACTAATATTCCTGTTTCTTTTAACTGTGTTGATAATGTATCTAAAGTAGCTTGAGTTTTATTAGCTTTAGATACCAGATTCTGAAATTTTATATTAATTAAATATATAATACACTTTCAAGTACAAATAGAACCTCAAAATGTAAACTGCACCTCAGAAAATTGTTGAAGATGCTTGAGAAGTCCAATATCACCAGCAAGACTCCACTCTCTTCTTTTCTTCCTCATCTCTTCCGTAGTCCAGGAATGATCCCATGATTTGTCTATACCATCTGACATATCCTATAGCAAAAAATATCAAAATATTTATTTATTGTTCTAAATAAATTCTATTTCGATTGCTATAAATAAACTTTATATTTATATTCCAAACTTAATCAGAGAAAAATCTTGAAGCAGAAATAGGTGTGTTACAAGTAGTTTGATTTTATAATTAAGTCACAATAAAAACATATTGTTTAAAAACTAAGGAATGTATAAACGGTCATGTGAGTCGTTCGCTGGAGTTGGTGCGGAAACATGCGTGTATATATATATGTACGTGTACTCGTGTGAATCTTACACGTGAGTTTTTGAATTGAGATTTCAATTCTTAAATTCATATAGGACGCTATATTTGCATCTCATATATGAGAGAGACACCGTATACCCCCCTAATCAATTTTAAAAGAAAGATTCTTTATTAATTGTCATATTGTCGAAATTAAACAGTTATAAAATAAGCAACCAAGTTTTCAAACATTGATCTGTACTTCTGTAGGTAAACAAAATCATTTATATTTTGCATAGCTTGATACATGCACATCTAAGGTCAACTTTAAAATCTTTAATGTCAATCACAAACAACATTTGTTAACATACAAAGATGTTTTTCGGGTTTGAACCGCGTTAGTGTCATTCTTATACCGACGTTTCGTGAACATTTCAGCTCATTTCATCAGGGTTTAAAAAGCAACTTGATACTGAGATGCTTCTGATCAGGAGTATCTCAGTATCAACATTTGTTAATTTGATTCAAAATTACAAAAATACATACATAAGCTAAAATTTATTAATATATTAGTTAATAATTTATTAAAATAATGTGTGTGTACACATACCCCTCGATAGAAAAACATTTACAAAATTATGTGACAAAGTCTTGCAGTAAAATTGTAATTTGCAATTATACAGATATATTTTAGGAAATAGATGTAAAAACATTGATCTTTTATAAAATATTTGTAGTTGTTTGCAAAATTACTTTCCAAATACTATTTTGGCAAAAGAATAACAATATGGCGAATCATCTTAGCAGTATATTTGCAAAATTAATTTCAAAAAGAAATTGTCCAATAATTGAGAAAAAAATTTCAGCTATGTGATGTTTAAAATATGTAGAAATATAATTGCATATGAAGAAATCAACTTAAATCATGTATATACTTAAAGAAATGCATAACAACTCTTTCTCAATTTTTGACAAATATTATTTACAAAATTTTATTTCGACAAAACTGTTGCGTTATAGCGAATCATCTTAGTGCAATCATTGCAAAATCGTCGGTATTCATGATGCCATTTTTGTACAATATTTTCACAATTTGCCTATTAGGGTACATATATTACCCCGATAATCAAATGATAGCAGTATGCACGCAGGTTTAATCAGCACTTTGCAACAGATTCAACTCAGCTGTGTCATCATAGTGAGTGAATTATGTAGGCACGAGATGTAAAGAAAACAACACAGCAAAAATATAGAAATAAATGAAGAATGAAATGACAATAGCACGTTATGCTTCAAATCTGCTACATTTTTTGACCAAGTTCTGCTTGATTGATGCAATAATATTTGCATCACGGCATGACACATTTATATTCTCTTTTTTTTCTGTTTTTCTGTCGACACTAGTTGAAATAACAGATTATGTTTGAACGCTGGCTACATTGTACTGGCATAATGTGTTAATGCAGACTTTGCAAAAGTCTGTTCATTCAGTTTTGGTTATCTGTGTATATATGTGTATGTGAATGTGGAAAAAAAATCTCCGAGAAGAAAGAAATGATTAAACAAGAGTTAAAACTAAACATATAAACAAATAATATATATTTCTATATAAACCTACAATTGTACAAAATAAATATAGCTTTTAAGCTTTAGTTTACACATACACACACGTTCCATTATTATTTGCATCTGTTAACCTAAATAAAATCTTGAGGAACTTTAGGAGAGCAAGAGTGTCTCCCAAAACATCGTACAGACGGTTAAAGACACGTTAAAAAGATCATATATAAAAAAAAAAAAAAATTGATAAGCAACTGTCAATGCTGCTCTGTATCTCACTCACCATGTCGTTCGTTACACGAAAGCGACAAGTCTTTTTCTTTTTGCGATCACATTTATAAGTAAACAAACAACAGGAACTTTATTTACTGCCTTGCTGTAATTTACGTAGAAAGAAGAAAAGAAAGCAGACGCAGATTTTACAGCCTGGTAAAGTTCTATAGTTTCTGTAGAAAATCAGTGTCCAACTGTCCAAGGAAAGTTAAACCAGAGAGAAGAATAAGAGGGCCAGGCCCATAAGAGTTTTTACGACCGCTATTCCAACCCGTAAGCTAGCGCATGTCCACGGATGGTGCACATTGGCAACTACGTAGCAATGTTCACGGACTTGTCGATACGCTATGTCCATGCCACACCGACGTTTCTCCTAATAGCGATTTCGGCTGGTTTGCACCGACTGCACATTTCGGTTGTCGGTGCAAATTGTGTGTTCGGCTGGTCGAATGGCAGCAGTTCTTTGCTGGTTCCGCGTATTCGTCTGAGCTCAGTACACCGCATAGGTGCATGTTGGGTGTACACAAAGTGGCTCTCACAAATTAGTCAGAGCCAGTTAGTGTAATCAGTACACATACCGATGCGGTGTTGCACACAATTGCACCAACTCTACACAGGTGGCACACCGGTGCAGACCAGCCGAAATCGCTATTAGTAAAGACTCAAGCTACTAGTGGTTCAAATCACCGCTAAATAAAATGTTTTATCCAAGACTCGAACCACTTTTTTTCCCTTATTCTCTCCGAATCAAAAATATTTAATCAGAAATCATAAGATAGGTTTAATGTTCATCTTGACAATTGGATTTAAATATTATTTTACTAATGTTAGTTTACGATTACGTTCTTTTATGTTTTGCTTGATAATATTTTTTGACAAGTACACGTTAGAAAACAGACTACAGGTGTTTTCGTTTNAAGAGAGTTCGTATTGAATAAAAAATGTAATGTCTTTTACTATTTTGATACTTGATTCATATTGAAGTTATTAATAAAGGTTTTTGTTAATCTATATATATTTTTAATATACTCTGTTATTTTCCTTTTTTCTGCGCTTCTAATACAATTTATTTTATACATGTACTGATATACATGTACTGAAATATGTACGTATTTATATTATATTATTCCAACTTTAGTATTGTACCACACTGAAGTCGCATAAATTTTGATACAACTAAACTTATGTTGCACTACTTAGATAGAGTTTTATACTAATTTACATATTGTGCGTGAAACGCGCTTGTACACTTTTTTCAATTTTATAATAGTATACATGAAAAAAGAACACAATTACATTTATCTTTCTCATGTATATAAACTATAAATAAACAAAAGTACATCCAATAAATATATACAATTTGTTACACGTACGTATATAACAAATGCATTGATATATGGACGGAAACACGCTTAGTAGTTTTACGAATTTTGCTTTGTTTCTTTTTAATTACATGAGTAATAATTCTTGACTTGCGTGACAATAAAATATAAAGTAGAAATCAATTCACATTTCTGCCGTTGGTTTGCTTTTCTCGCGTGTTCATCATATTAATTGTAAGTCCTAACAGCTGTTTTGATCTTTGTTCTGAGGATTTCGATTATGTTGTTTCAAAACAACTCATATTGTTCCAAAACACTTCAGACCAGCAAACAGAATAAGCATGTAAATCAAAATCGTGATTTCTATTGGATATTTCTGATCCAAAGATAACAAAAGAAATACAAGAAGGATGTTGTCAAAATCATTTTCGATCACCTTGATCACTTCAACACATTCGATAGCCAGCTTTCGCTCAGTGTAGTTGTGTACTTTTGTTACCTGTTTCTTCAACGATGTTTTCGTGTAACTATTGTTCTCTGGCTTTTACTACGGAGGAAAAACTCAATGTTCATATTGAAATGTGCGACAGAAACACACAATCGCCGCTATCGGTAAGTTTTCGAAAATAATAAATCTCGATGGAAACCTAATTCGATAGAGATGTCTCTTTACTAAGATCATTTTTTGTCGTTTCAAAATCATTTAATTACTTGTAGGAACTAAGTGATTTGGACTCATATACTTGTGAAGTCTGTAGTACGGATTTTTTGACTGCAGAAGAACTTGCCATGCATGAAAAAACGTGTGAAATGAAGAAACTCACATCAACGTTGGTACGTGCTTAATTTAAAATTATTTAACGAAGAAAACTGTTCTGATAGAGAAGTTGCATTGCGAAAATTATTTTCCATTACGTACTTCTTAGTCGAATTTTGCAGAATATAGTAATATGTTTTATCTTCTTCTTGAAACCTACATATTTTTTTATTCATCACAGGTACCTCAGCTCGAGGAACTCACTAGAACTCTTAATATCCCTGACAAACCGGTAAGCTTTTCGAAAATATTAAAAGTTGATTCAAACTTGATTTAATACCAGATGTGTTCTGCCAAGATCGATCAGAGTCGCTTTAACTGTTTAGTAGCTTTTGTGAAATGTACATAAGTAAAGTTTGTTAGGTCTCTTTAAAGTCGAAACGCTGTGGAAATTGTAAGATGATCTTTATAACGCGAGAAGACCTCCTTGCTCACAGGCGTATGTGTAAAATTAGAAAAGTGAACAAGTTAATGGTGAGTTTTTTATATTCCTTAAATAATATGCGATGAGAGAAGTGAGAGTGTTTTGATAGATACTTTTCACAGACAAAACCGTTTTTTTTTTTTTTTTTTTTTGTACACTACCGTACTTCATAGCAGATTATTGTGCACTATAACAGATATGTATAATATTTGTTGTTTTTTTTTAAAATACGTCACTTTATCCATCATTGAACATCATGGGACATAGAAAGGACTGACCACAATCTTTGAAGAATGGTGTAAAAAATTCAAGTCTGTAAAGGAAAACTTTTTTTTATCGGTAAATTTTTGTAAAATATGAGGTGATTGATACTTGATTTGGTAAACGAATTCATATCAAAATCAGTTTTTGTCATTTTATCAATTTGTTAGTTAACTTTTTAGCATTACAGTTGCGTATACTATTTTATAGACATCTTCTGTTTCGCCAGTGTCAAGTGACAGTAGCTCGAGTAGCTATTTACCGATATCTGATGAATCAAATGTGAGTAATTCTGTTTATTTATGTCACGCGATAGATTGTGCTCTTGTATATTGTTTTGAAAAAATTAGAATTAACGGAGAGTGATGTAATTAAGATGAGTTGCAATCATTTTTCGTTGTCCTAACGGATTTCTTACTCGGCTTTTGCGAAGTATTGTGTGGTATTTTTAGGTGCAAACTTCTCATACATTGACGTCGGAAGATGACTGCTCTGTACAAACAAACTTGATCAATCCTGTTGCTGTAGGTCGCGCCATATGTTCTGCGGTAAGGTATTTGAAAAAAAAAAACAAAAAAAATTAATATAACCTAATGTAATAAAGATGTGAGCCGCAATGAGTTTCTTACTTGGCTTTTGCGAAATATCGTATAATACTTTTTAGATGCCTTCATCGACGTCAAAAGACTGCTCTGTAAAGAAATCTAATAGAAAACGACCATTAAAGACTTCTTCAACTTTTGACTCTAGTCTGGTAACTAAGATTTTAAGAAATAAAAGAAAACGATGTGCAATCTGATAGATAGATTGCTCTACCATGTTTTGTCACTATAACAAATATGATAGTCACCTACTGTAGTATACTAATATTTGTATGTTTTTTAGGAATTTTCTCCTCCGTCGAAGACTTTTCGATTAAGTGAAAGAAAACAAGAAATTACCACTGATAGTAAAAGTCATGTCGATATACACAAGTCGGTGAGTGTTCAAACTTTATTAGAAATCGACAAAACTACGATCTAGTAGAAGAGTTTTGCTGTGCGAAAGTTATTTGTCGTCGCTGCATTCGATCGTCTGCTTTAGTAGAGTTGTATATTAATAGTTTCTTTGTTATTCAAAGGTAAAGTGTCCTCTCATAAAATGTGTCTCCTGTTCACGACGTTTTAACACGTTAGACGAATTAAAAACTCATATTCGCGGGTGTCTAAATTTATACAACATTTAGTAGCTTTCTGCCCGGTAAGAGGATTTTAACTATTTTTAGAAAAAGTATTAAACGCATGTGCATAAAAGTTTTGTCTTAGATATAATTTGAGAGAATTTAATATAAGGTCTAAGAAGAATCAGTTTAGAACAATGACGATTAACACACAGCATATTGTATTGTTGGAAAAGAAGACGTGAATCAAATAAGATAATAAAGTAAAGTGTAACATACAGTTACTTCATTGTCATATACGAAATGGTACTATCTTTATATAATATTTAGTTCTACAGTCTGTTCAAAAAAGATAAAAAACTTAATTATTTAAACCATAAAATAAAATGAAATGATATGTGTTACAGAAAACGATTGCAGGAAATACGAAGTGTCAAATGATATAGGACCTTTCTTTTTTATTTATACAACCTCAGAACTTATCTGCAAAAAAGACATAACTGTTGAAAAAGGGTACCACAACAGAATACTTTTAGATCAATATAACGTAAAATAAAATGACAAAAAAGTTACAATTGATTGACATTTTCATTTCTTGTGACGACGATCACTTCGTCGATTAGATTTAAGTACATATATTATTGAATATAGTGTACGGTTACAGTGTTTTATGATTAGCTTGATGATAGTTCTTTAGTGTACATATTAGAATATAGATCTCAAATGTAAATTTAAAAAGAGCCCTCAGTGTATGTCGGATTCTAATCTTTTATTCAGTTTTTTACTTCACTCTCTTTTATATTCTTAATTCATTTATACTTAAATTGNTGTGTGTATATGTATATCAGTTTGTACATACGTATATATATACATGTATGTATA